AACACACACAGGCTGTGAGTGTAGGCTCTGTAACATCAACATCTGTCTGTCATTAGGGAAAGACAAACAGACACATACTGTATGAGCCGGAAGCTCTTACAGTAAAGACTATAGGCAAGATCACTGTTACCTTGCCCCGAACACACACTCACAGTAGGGTAAAAGTGTTATATTCAGTGCACATGCTCATATAGACACAGAAATATGTTAAACAGCAAAGTACTGAAAACAGTTTTAGATAATCACCTAAGGAAAATTACCGACAAAGAAACACTGAGTGTTTGTAGTCTTGTGGTATGATGGGTAAACATGTACCGGTATATTTTTTAGAGAATATAAATTTAGGCAGAGACTTTGTGTTGTCTGTGTCTTCAAGCTTTTGTTTATTTATGTCAGTTGTTTTTTTTACTATTATTTTGATTACTATTAGTTACTGTAGAGGTGCTTTATGTTGTGTAATGTTTGTATATTCTGATTAACATTGTAAAGTGTGGACACCTGAAAGAATAGCTTGTCTCTATGCTGAAGCTAATGGGGATCTAATGAACAAACAAGCAAACCAACATGGTGTCACATGCACACCCACACATTTCTAGAGGCCTGTTTCAGGAGGAAGAATTGTCTTTGAATATGTAAAAAAACTGAACCAAAAACAGGAAGTGTATTGTTAACACATCTTACAAAACTCACAACACACTCAAATAATAAAACAACAACATGCAGACACACAGGTGTATTATGTTTTGTCTTGACTTGCGGTTGCTCTAACAGCACTCAATAATGGCACATCTTGCCTCAGAGCGAACTAACATAAAATAACTTTATGGGGAAGAATAGTGTTTTTTTTTTTGGTTTTTTTTTCCAAGTCTAAGTGTCTGTGTTTTGTAGCAGTAGAGTGAGTGCTACTTTCTACAACAGCCTTGTGTTTGGGGTCTGTTTATGGGTACAAGTGTACACATCCATGTAATGTCACTTCCCGTTAGACACAGCATCCGTCTCTGGCGGCAACAACAGATGGACGTAATGGTTACAACCATCGTTCATCATCACTGTGGTGACAGGTCCAGATACACACACACACACACACACACACACACACACACACACACACACACACACACACACACACACACACACACACACAAACATAGTGGCTTTGCATTGCTGGTCCACTAACACAACCTCCATGGCATGCTAGATTAACTTCTCTAGTTGATGGACCACACATGAATGCATGCACACACACAAACACGCATACCTGTATATGACACATTAGTGCGCAGCAGACTAATAAAGCTCTTAAAATTAAATATGCAATGAATTATGAAAGGTAACACTTGAATTGCTAAAAGATGGATTACCACAGGATTTTGAACCTAGGGATTAGATTATGTAAATATTTGGGCCTTTTAGTTTAACTTTATATTTCCCTTTCACAAGTTTAGCTTATTCAAATGTTAAGAAACAAATCAGAGGCACATGTCTTTTTGGGCAGTCTGTATATTTAGTCATCCTCTCAGTGTCTGTTTTTAGTTCCCATGAACAGGCATGAACGTGTCTTTTTCTCACATACACAGAGAAGACAAATACATATGTTATATTCATTAAAGTATGTATTGATAATCACAGGGTAGCAACAGAGCGTTGCTGAAAGAAGGAAAGAAAGAAAGGAGTAGGGATTAAAAAGCACAACTATATTTATTTGGAATAAAAATCTAAAAAATAATGCTACACTGGTTTTAACACATATTTCAGGTCCATAACAGAGGCATGAGAGAGTTGCATTTTCATTCTATAACATTTTTCAATCAAGTAATTGCTTTTGCCAATTTGTCTGTTTTGCCTTGTCAAAAAGTTCCTGGATTTTAAGGACTAAACATTTGTAAATGTGCCAAATGCAATACAACGACTCTCAAGTTGTCAAAGGTACAGTACCTGTTGAGAGTATGTGCAGCCTATTTCAACCTCCTCTTGCACCAGACATTAGCATAATGTTCACATCTTCCTCCCCTCAGTCCAGGCCTCTGCTTGTAGCTGCTGATTAGTTCCAAAGATGCAGCTCTGGCTGTAGTTTTTGCTCAAGGGCACCCCAGCAGCAGCAGCTGTTGTTGTTGTGGGATTTTCAAAACATTTCTTAATCACTTCCCCTCAGCCAAGTGTTTCAGCACTATGCCAGGGAATTTAAGCTGAGAATTTATCAACCATGAATGTCCTCCTGCTCCCCTCAATGTTAGAAGATATTTAAAGAAAACTACAGAAATGATACCAGGTGTCCCCTTTCTTCATCGCCTTCACGGTTCGAGATGATGAGAGGGATCGCTCTCTCTTAATTTAAGAATATTTTCAACCTTTTGTTTTTATTTTGGCCTTGGAACTACATTGTATTTGGCATGTTTCAACACTTTAATCCATTTCGACTGATCAGTATGTGTTTGTGTTCGTCAATATGTGAGCCTGTTTTTGTGTGTGCCTGTGGTTTTTGTCTTTATGGGTATGTGTGCTTGTGCTATTGAACTGGATTAATTCAGCTGGGAGCTCATTGGGGCTTGAGAAATTCTTACCTGCGGTTACATCTGCCTCACAGTTTTACACATATACACTGTTGAGCATCACCGAATACAGGGCGATGGTGAGAGTGATGAAGAGATGGAGGGAGGCGAAAGGATGGTGTTGAGGAGAAATGATGAGAGAATTGCTCTCACCTAAGGTGCTCCAGGCAGAGAGCGATCGAGTGTGCGAGAGAGAGAGAGATTGTGGAGGGACAGTATAAGAAGCGTGAGGATGGGGTGAGAAAGTGGAGACAGTGTGATTAGTATGAGTATTCCTTCACTGGAGGAAAAAAAAACACAAGGAGACAGGGAGAGGTAAGGCACCTAGAGATAGGTTGAAAGGCAAAGACAAGGAAAGAACTGAGGATTTTGAGATTCTGGAGAGCCCTTTGGCGGAGAGAACGAGAGGGAATCAGGTGAAAACAAGAAGCAGAGAACGGTGGAAGGACAGGGCCGATGATTACAAGATTGTATGGATCATAAGCACCCTGGGTGAAACACTGAATGAGTAAGAGGTTGGTAGAAATGGAGCATGGGGAAGATAAATACATAGGGCTTGAAGAAATAAGATATACCCAGACGGAAGTTTACGGACAGTAGGGCAAGAGGTGATGTGATTGATGAAAGGATGGACAAGTCTTGAGACAGAAAATACAAGCAGTTCTACCCCAGGAGTAAGAAGTACAACTACAATATTTCATACATTTTACCTTCAATTTTCTATACTGAGGTGACTTCTTTTACATCAATGTTATACTTTTAGATTACTCAGTTTGCATTTTATGGTATTTCATTTTTTACTTTTGTTTTTCCCAATTAGTGGTGGGATTTGTTGACTAACTGCTGATACGATACGATACACATATGATTTCTTATTACTCTATATCCTAAAGCAGCCTTTGCCTGTCCTGAAGCTACAATTTATCTCCCTCACTATACTGTAATGATGCCTGCGTGCGATCGCAAACTTGACTTGTAGGCTGTCTGCTCTGTATGCACAGATCTGGCCTAAGGACTCCGAATACAGCCGTTTCCATACTCTGAAAAAGACAGAGGGAGGGAAGAGGAGAAAGCGTGGCAATAAATGCACGCTCCCTTTAGCTACCATAGCGTATACATAGATCCTTCCCCCTTAGCCAGACATGGCCTAATCAGCAAGCTAATTAGCACTCTTTGTAACTGCATCGGCCCCATGTAACTGATTGCATTAACAACTGCCACATCAAACAGTCATGTCTCATGCTTTTGCATCTCATTACACATTAAGGACATGCAAGGTTAAGGCCACATTTGAGCCGTAATAAAATGAGAAATACCTTCCGCCACAGATGGTGGGCCAATTGTTTGACTTTATTCCTCAGTACTCCCTATATATTCTACCTTTATTGAATTACTCTAGGCGTTGTTCTCAGCCATAGTGATTTATTCCTTCTGTTTAAGGGACCCAATGAGATAACATGAATGAAACCGTCTTATATGTCCCTTTCATTCCATTTGTTTTTTTTATCTGTATGGCCAAGCAAGCAGAGGAAAACAAAATGCCAAGGAACATTATTTTATCATTTTATTATGTTACATCATGAATGTTGTATAGACTTGTTTCCAAATAACATCAACTTCATGCATCCTGATCAATGTTGCCATAAAGTAGATGTGTTAGACATAGTGAGAGATCACTTATATGATCCATGTTTCAGGGAACTTTTGATTATATTTTCTCATCTTTGATCCCAATGAGCAAGTCCCTTCTGCCCAACAAGACTACAGTATGTTATGCCACAGAGTGAAAATTGACGAATTAAATCAATTTAGCAACAAAATCTAAGAGGCAAAAAACTTCAAAAATCAGGTTTATCCTCTAACCTGTCTTCCATCATCATCATGGGTTCTTACCACTTGGAGAGTACAAGTACAGTGAGGGTTAATGTTCAAAGTTGCTCTTTTATAAATTCATATTTTTGGGCTTTTTTGTTTTTATTTGATAGGACAGATGAAGAGTGATAGGAAATGTAGGGAGAGATAGTGGGTGATTTCATGCACCAAATAGTGTAAGGATTGTGAGCCTAACCTGCGACCATTAAAACGAGGTCTGCAGCCTCTGTGCATGGAGCGTCTGCTTTTACCAACTGAGCTAAACCACTGCCCTGTTTCTCATTCTTGAATAAATATATCATGAAAAATCATATTCATTGGCTGAAATTATGAGGTTTTATACTATAATAAAGCGCATGCCAATCATCAACACATATCTCTGAGCCTGCGGTTAGTGGTGATATGCGCAATGATATGTGATAGACATTTTTCCACATCTAATCAAATTTCTAATTAAATCATAGGAAACTGACAATCAAAACCCAGTATTTTTCATCAGCTATTTTGGCTTCATTTAAAATCTATTACATAAATTGCCCCTACATTTGATCAATTTCTTGTGTTTTTCATGACTTACAGAAGAAGCAGAGAACTAAGGAGCTGTCACAACTCTTCCACTCCTACAACCCTTACGACCACAAGGTAAGACATCTCGCTCTCTCTCTTTTTATGCAAAGCAATCATTTATTCCTTTACTCTCACATTTAGACCAGAAGCCTCACTTGACATCAAGAGTAGTTGTAGGTCACAGTCACCATATTGGCTTCTTAGCTGTGATGAGTTTTGTCGTCTCCTGAAGATGGATGCCTCTTGTTGGCGATCTTGTGCTTGAAGGCAGCTCAAGTGTTCCTGATTACATTGTGAGAGTTTGCATGTGGTTTTGAGTGAGTGTGAGAGAGAGAGAGATTGAATCCTGAAGTCAGAGGTAAATCTCCTCAGCTGTGTGTGTGTATGTGATAATTCACATATTTATATGGGTATGAGTTCATAAATTATGAGGCTAACATCTGACAGCAGACTGAACATGCCTCTCTTCAGGCATGTTTATGATGATGATGAGACTTGTGACAGCATTCTTATATAAAGATGTCCTTCTGAAAGTGACAGCACCATGACAACAGCTGTCAACACATTTTCAGCTGTCATGAAAAAGTCAGAATATGCCTCTTGACATCTTTAGATTTATATCAGTTCTTATGGCTATTTCAGGTCAAATTTGTTTCCCACTTTGTAATCTTTCTTTTCCAGTTGTAACTCTGATTTTCTCCCCAAGATCTGGTCAATGCATGTTACTCTTATTACGAGAAGGTAAAATGTTTCACTGTTAGGGCTTCTACCACAGTTGAATGTTGTGAACATTTTGGTGATTAAAGCCTCTCTTTTAGGGATCACGTTGTGTCATTAGCTTTGGCATAGCAACGTTTTGTTTTTTTATTGTTGACAGTTTAAACCCAGAGAGAGTTTGTGCGTATGGTGGTGCTGTTATATGTTACACTCTAATTAAACCGGTGTAAGAGAGATCACGTCTGTACTGTGGCAGACATGTATCTTTGCCCTCCCACACACACACACACACACACACACACACACACACACACACACACACACACACACACACACACACACACACACACACACACACACACACACAGGCAACTAATAATGGAACATGTGAATTCAGTAAAGTTTGAAGAGAAGATCTTATTATTACATTCACACATTTGCATCTAAATCAGACACTTAGTGTTTTTTGCACACGCTTTCTACTCAAGTACAATTCCCAGAGGAATTTAGATGCAGCCGATGCTTTGGGAAGCCTCTCCAACTCACAAACATACGTTTCTGAATGTCACTGACCACTTCTGAAACACTTGAAAGATGAAAGACACGTGAATAATGGAAGACAGCTGAAGTTCCATAACTTTTTAGCGTATACAAGGATGCACAGAATGTGTATGAACTGTTTATTTCATCATGTTTTGTGAAACGTGTACCTTTTAGAGGCGCACATAAAAGCTCCTGTACTTTTCAAATTTAAAGCTAAAGAAGATGAAACATAGTCAGAGCCCCCTTAGAAATGTAGTCAGATGCGTTTTTACATTTATTGGTGTACTTTTTTATCATTTGTATTTTGCACATAACAATAAAACACATCAAACATGAACTCGGATGCATGACTGCCTCATACCACCATATGTTTTTCATCCCCATCATAGGGAATTTAAACTGACTTACTGTTAGTACGAGTTTTCATGAAATTCATTCATCTTGGTAACTTCGTGAAATGTATTATTCAAGTCTGCCTACCACGTGTTAACACTCCTACCTTCAGGTGTCTGAAGCTGTAACCTTGTATGAGCGAAGCACCTAAGTAGTAGCAGATCTATATATGGAGAGGAGCCAACTAAATGTTGTCAGCAACTGTTTGCTAGACAGAGAGTCTACATCTGATACGTATACAAATCAGTGTCATCTTCATTGTTTATGGTGATGCACCCAAATAGAAAGGAATTTGTGGGTTCCACCTTTTTGACAGATATAAGCAGCACTGTGAACACTGTTACTTTGTCAGCACTTTGTCAGTCAAGTGATTTGGAAGCGTGCTTGTTTGATGAAGTTGTCTGACCTCGGCCGATTAAATGGTGTTATAATCTCCAGTCTGTTTCACGATTTCTTCATTAGATTTATACATTAGAAACAAACCCCACCTAACACTTACTGATAACCTTGCCTTTCTATTTTCTGGATAATATTGTCAAAAGTAATCCCATCATACTTTAATCTGATTCCCCGTAATACATTTATATAGGTTTTTTTTTTGTTGTTGTTTTCTTTTACATATGAAGCAAGTTTCCGGGAAATGGTCCATGAAGCTCTACTTACGGCCATGTTCCTGTTGGTCTTATTTCTTTTCCATAGATTGTGTAGATTTGAAAATAAATCCCTTTGCATTACAAACCCAGATAGCCAAGAGATATTATTTAATGATAATAAATCTAATGTCAAGCATGCTTCCTTCCAGATCAACCACTGTTCTGCCTGTCCTTGCCCATGTTCATACACCGTGGAAATGTTGAGGCAAATCAGCTTGTATTAAGCTCATATAGCCGTTAGATAGAAATAAATGAACTCTGATAATGTCCCCCATTTCACATTAAAGTCCCTTGGGTGTCTGGCCTTTAAGCTTAAGGTTTATGTAAGGATATAATGTGTTTACCAACACATCTGTGTGTCTGTGTGTGCATGTGTTTGTGTGTGTAGGATTAAGAGAGAGCACGCACAGATTTAGAGGGAAAGGAGAAATTGGTGCCTCTGCAGCCATTCTTGTTAATACGCATCCTCCTTTAGGTATAAAAAGGTCATTAATAAAGACTGAGGCTGGGCGGGGTAGTGTGTTAGTGAGGCTTTATTGCTCCGTAGCTCGAGGCTAACAATCAAATGAAACAATGTTTTTAAATGAGCTAATTGTTTTTTTTTTTTGTACCACGCTTGTTTTTTTAATTTCCTGTGGCTAGCTCTGCATCACAAGCATGGATAATGGCTAGCTCCTCTTTCTTTCTTTCTTTCTTTCCTTCCTCCTTAATGTCTTTCTTTCTTTCTTTTTGACTGTGATTTTTTCTTCCTCTTTGTCTCTTTATATTATCAATAAAGATGTTTTTGTGTTCAATTACATGTACTGTAGACAACTGTTCTTATTTGTGTGTGTATGTTCTACGTGTGTGTGTGTGTGTGTGTGTGTGTGTGTGCGCACGTGTGTGCACACACATGTTTGTGATGATTAATGTGAAATATCCTATAGCCAGATGGTGCTGAACAAGGCCCATCCATCAGCAATGAAAAGACCAGTGGGCAGAAAGCTGGCGGAGCACTTTGTCTAGGGCCAATGCCTTGCCATGGACACACACACACACACACACACACACACACACACACACACACACACACAAATGCACATATTAGACACAAAAACTCTCTCAGGCCTCGATTGTGTTAGACCCTGTGTTGGAGCTTTGTGTACTGGTTTTTGCTTTTTTTTTATCCTGTGCTTTTTCTTGCTCTGCCCCATATGAGTGCTTACTAGTACAGTAGAATCTTTCCGTTTATTGTTTGTATTATCACTTGCTCTATAGATGAGGTTCAAGGGTCAAATAGTTCTTGTGGATTATTTCCAGGTATGTGGGTTTCTTAGTTTAAAAAAAAAAACATCAACATGAGATTTGATAGTAATCAGTACAAACCAGTAACTAGCACAGACTAATGAGCAGATGTCAGGAAATTGAACATGAATCTCAATTTAAAAAAAATAAACCCCTTGTGAACCCAACTTTATGTTCAAGCTGTTTATCAGTTCTGTCTTCGTTTACATGCTCTTATATACTTTTAGATTTAGCGTACATTTAGTGCCTGTACATTTTGAGAAGATGTGCTTTTTAATAACATTGTTCAATATTGCTTAAAAAAACATAAAATTCAATAAATAAACAATAATTAAAGAGTGCATTCAAGCTAAACCCCTGGGTTTCTATGTCTGTTGTTCTTCATGTTTTACGCAATGCTTTTTTGTGTAACTATGTTTCCCCCTAAATCCAAAGTGGAGCCAAAAAGCAGTTTTTTTTCTTTCATTTAAAAAAAACTGGCACCAATTAATCTGAGGGTGGCTTCAGAATTAAAGATGTCAGCTTTATGCCTCTGCCTTGCCTGTCTTCTCTGTTTATATTACACCTAATGATCCCTGTTTTATTCATCAGTGAAAGTCAGAGGTGATACAAAGTGTCACCAGCCTGCTTGTTCTGCTCCTGTTTGTCTGGAGTGACCACAGTTTATTCCCCTGTGCAGTTCTGAAAAGCGCATGAACACACTGCACACAGACCTCTCTCCCTTTGCTGCATCTCCGTGTCATCTGGTTTTAAGTTTTGCTCCCAGAAGGCTTTGCCCCTTCCAGGTTCAGCTTGTGAAACTTGCATCACGCTCAAGTCATTTTCTGAGAACTTAATGTGCGTCTGAGTGTTTGAGGGTCTGTGCATTCTGCTGTTCCTGGCACAGCTAATAAAGCCCCTTTCCCCTCTCAGCACACACTGTCACAGTCTCCTGAGAACACACACACACACACATTCTCCATGCTGTGTTCATAGGCCTGAATGACAGGGGTGACAGTTTTCCCTGCGGTAAGAGAGAAGGGACAAGCTGTCAACATGGCCTGTTGCACCTGCCCAGCCACAAAAGACACACACACACACACACACACACACACTGAGAAGTAGCCCATTAGAAATAAAGAGGGAGGTGGAGATGGCTAAATGAGAAGCTCATAATGAAAGACTCAAAAGAATGACTGCATTTACAGAAAATAAGACACTTAATTACATTCAATAAACTCCCTGCCATGAAATTCTGACATCCCAGTTGGCTTTATACAAGTTGACATAATTATTTATCATTTCAAGAAAAAGAAAAAAAAAACTGTTAATAGGCCAAAGGATCGTCTCTCCCTCCAACAGATAACAGCTTTTCTCTACACATTGACAAACTAAACAAGAAGTTTTTCTTCTGTTTTGACAATTTTAATGAATTTCATTTAGAAGAAAGGGTTTTTTTGTTTAGGCTGATGTTTTTTTATTTCTGTTGTGAAAAGCTAACCTTCA